CACGTGCTTACAAGGATACGGCGACAACCCGAACTACGGTTACACGAGCTTCGACAGCTTCGGCTGGGCTCTACTTTCTGCCTTTCGTCTTATGACCCAAGACTATTGGGAAAATCTTTATCAACTGGTACTACGATCGGCCGGACCGTGGCACATGCTCTTCTTCATTGTCATCATCTTCCTCGGTTCTTTCTATCTCGTCAACTTGATCCTCGCTATCGTAGCGATGTCATACGACGAGTTGCAAAAGAAGGCGGAAGAGGAGGAGGCTGCCGAAGAGGAAGCAATAAGGGTATGCGAATGAGGACTCGTATAAAGGTGGCTTGTCAATTTTAGGAAAATTGAAATATTATTTTTTTTTTTTCTTTTTTTATCGTACCATTGATTAAGGATCGATGGACGACGATTCGATCTATCTTACAATTTATAATTGCATTTAGATCACGTCGTTTTAATACGATTCGTAATCATTATGTGATTATTTCCTATTATTTACAAGACCCCGCATACGGTCCTTAGACCCGTCGAAAGTCATACGCGTAATTGTCCTTTGACTTTCCTTTGACGTTTATTTTTTTTTCTTTACTTTTCAGTTTCTTTATTTTTCTCTTGGATTTGAAATATCTATTTGATTTTTAATTATGTTTTATATATTTATATACATATACAAGGAATAGTCATGGGACATTTATGACACGTTTCGCCGTCCAGTAATTTGACAATTTTTCCTTTTTTTGCTTTCTTCTTATAATATTAATGATTTCCTTTTTTTTTCTTTTTAGAATAGACGATAATCTTTATAATTGGCATATAGTATCGATGAGTTTTTATGTATGTATATATTTCTTTTCGATCAATTATACAGGGTGATCACAGTGATGTATTACCAGAACTAGTTTAATATTTCTGTTAATTATTCAATTTAATAAAGAAAAAAAGTTTGAAACGTGTATGTTACATTTGAAATGATGCATATTATGTATAGAGTATTAAATCATTTTTATTACTGCAAGATCGAATATTGAAAGATACTCTATAGTTTTTCAAATGTTACTCAATTTTTTTCTATAACATTAGATAGTTGCAGTATTTAATGAAATAATAATTACATCTCTTTTGTTATAGAAAAAAAAAAAAACAAAAATTTGAATTCCATTTGGGAAACTGTACTAAATTCCTAAACTTTCGAATGATATAACTACAGACTTCTACAAACTTTAACGCCAGAATTAATACTACAAAACCCTGTATATAATTGTTACTTATGATTTCTCCGTCAGAGAAAAAAAAGAAAAAGTAAGAAAAATAGAAAAATACGAATCTGTTAAACATTATGTTTAATTTTTTTTTCTCACATCGATTTACCGGACGGACGTGTATTAAATTCGAATTGGTATGACTTACCGACGGGCCTGAAATCGCAAACGAAAATAAAAAAAAAAAACAAAAATTGATCGTATTATACTTAGTTTCAATTGTTAGTTGAAAATAATGATTGCAAAGACATAAAAAGAAAGGAATAGAAAGAAAAAAAAAAGAAAAAGAAAAGCGATAAAAATTGAATCGTCGTTTGACGAAGTGGAGGTACTTTCTTTTTTCTTCGATCGCGTCGCGATTTTGAATGATTAAAAAGAGGAATAAAAAAAAAAAAAATAAAAAGAAAATAAAAAATAAAATAAAAAAAGACCAAAAAAAAAGAAAAGAAAAGAAATTGAAATGGGTCGATGTGCATATATGTAGTTTGATTTGATCTGACAGGAAGTCGAAAAAGCCATGATGGTGAAGGAGAACAAATTAGCGGCGCAGGCAGCCGCGAGAGAAGCAGCTGCGGCTGCCGCGGTAGCAGCTGATCAGATCGTCAAGTCACCGTCGGACTTCTCTTGTCATAGTTATGAACTCTTCGTTGGTCAGGAAAAGGGTAACGACGATAACAACAAGGAGAAGATCAGTATACGATCGATCGAGTCTGTTAGCGAACATAGGATCAAGCAGATCAACAACAACCACAGCGCTGCCAGTAAAGTGCGGAAAGTCAGCGCCGTAAGTTTCGTCAAAGGATTTGCTGATGTAAACGTCTCTCTCGAGTATTTTATATTTATTCCCGTTCGACGTAATATTGACGTTGTATTATCACTTATTATCTGTGTATTCCTTAGTCTCGACTCGTCGTATCCGTTCTCTCGACTTCAAACCCGCTGACGTACATACATGCAGATAAATAGACACACACATGCACATACACTTTCTCTCTATCTCTCTCTCTCTCACTTTCTCTCTCTTTCTCTCTCTCTTTTGTATTCTCATATTGAAATATATCGGAGAGAATAGAAAAAAAACAAAAACAGAAAAAGAAATAAAGATAAACCAAAATAAACTTGAAAAAGCAGATACGAGACGAGTCGAGTGTGTTATTGCCTGGATAGAGCTTGCATATAAAGTAAAAAGTATCTCTCCCATTGTTATGTAATAATTTAGCATGCTCGTCATACATACGTATCTTAACTTATAATGCCTTATTTGATTGTGTATATTTTTCTTATTTTTCCCATTATCCGCAATACGTCAATCCTTTACGTTTGCGTAGATTCCATCCATAGAGAATCTATCTCCAAAGCCCTTAGATTCTTCGTATCGTTTGTCTTTCTCTATATTGATTCTAAAGTTGAATTCGTTAGTCGAAATCTTTTTGAAAGGAGATACGAAAGAACAGTGGATTATCAAGAAAAATTAAAAAAAGAAATCTTTCTTAGATTTTCGAAATGGATTTAACCAATCTTTATATCTCCGTTTTGTCGATGAAATAATCGTATATATATATAGATATATTTTCTATATTATCAATGTTCTAATGTATGCGTATGCGTATTATTTTTTATTCGAATGATACTCCATTCGTATAGTTGTGCTCTCTTTCTCTTTCTTTCTGTCTCTCTCCCTCCCTCTCTCTCTCTCTCTCTCTCTCTCTCTCTTTCTCAAACTTTTTATCCATTTCTATGTATATGTGTGCTTCTCTGTAAGTATTTTTTGTGTAAAAAAAAGAAAAAAAAGTAATGAAAAAAAAGAAAAAATTCTATCTGTAACAATATAATATACATATATATATATATATATTTCTACATATATCATATACGTATTATCAAGTGCCTCCTTGGTGTACATATTAGAAAAGGTTACGAGCCGTTTGGTAGGAGATATCTTTTCTTGTTTTTTTCTTAAGGTCTCTCGCGCCGCTAATGGCCAGTTTACTTATGCCTACCAGGAAAGCCTGCGGAAGGTACGTGTGTTACAACGTGTATCTCTGTCACAGCATCCGACCCGTACGTACATAATAGCACCGTACAAGAAAAGAAAAGAAAAGAAAAGAAAAGAAAAGAGAAGAATAGAAAAGAGAAATATGAGATTTATTATATAGTACCTATTCCACATCAGTCCTATCGACATTTTCTCATATATTTTCTCTCTCTCTCTCTTTCTCTCTCTCTCACTCTCTCACTCTCTTTCTCTCTCTCTCTCTCCCTTTTGACTGATCGACCGATCGAGTTTTTTTTGTCATATCTCGAATTTTCTCTTCTTCCAGAAGAATATTTTCTTTAATTTTCATTGGGAGCTATGTATATTCATGCATACATATATAACGAAAAGAGGGAAGAGCGAGTCCGTTTACGGCTAAACGTAAATTATAAAAATAGAATTTACTTTCTTTACATTTCTCAAGATATTCCTTGATATCGTTAATTTTTCGACGTCGAGTGATACGAATATGAATATATTTTTAAAAGTGAGAAGGGAATAAAAAAAAGAAGGAAAAAATTTTAAGAACTAAAAAAAAAGACAAAAAGAAAGAAAAAAGAAAGAGATTCTTTGATAGTTGCTTGTCGGAATATTTTAAATAATTTCTCTATGTTGATATACAAATGTGTGCAAATGATACCAAGAAAAGGGGGAATAAAAAAAAGAAAAAAAAAAACAAAGTGATTCGTTAAATGGTTATGTCAGAATATTTTTAATAATTTCTTTATATGGATATATATATAATGTGAAATGAAATCTTGTGACCAATTTTTTTATCACATTTTTATTTCTCTAATATTTGATGTATTTGTTATTTCTCTCTCTCTCTCTCTCCATCTCTCTCTCTTCCTTTTTCTCCCTTTTTTCTCTTTCTCTTTCTCTCTCTCTCTCTTTCTCTCTTTATGCGTGTTTAACATTTATTCCAACAACCCGAGAGAACGTATGACCCGAGACACATCTAGGAAAAGTGTTCGACGAGAGAGAGACAGAGAGAGAGAGAGAAAAGCGGTGGTCCGCTTTGTTGTTATTACAGGCCAGCCTTAGTCTGCCCGGCTCACCTTTCAATCTTCGCCGGAGTAGTCGTGGGAGTCATCAATTCACGATACGGAACGGTCGAGGTCGATTCGTTGGTCCACCAGGTGGTGACAGGAAACCCCTTGTACTATCGACCTATTTGGATGCCCAGGAACATTTGCCTTATGCCGACGACTCTAATGCGGTTACACCGATGTCCGAAGAAAATGGGACTATTGTAGTGCCAGTTTATTATGCGAATCTTGGCTCGAGGCATTCGTCCTACACGTCACACGCGTCGAGACTATCTTATACGTCGCATGGTGATCTTCTAGGTGGTATAGCCAGTGCAATCGGCAAACCAATGACCAAGGAGAGTCGATTGAGAAGTAGATCGGTTAGGCCACCATCGGTTAATGGTCATCTACCTGATTGTAATCAAAAATATCACTGCGTGAGTCCCATACGTATTATTGATATGATTGCGTTCAAATGTATTCCAGAAATTATTGAAGGAACGATAAAGCTATATCAATTGAAAGTTTTATTTGATAATTTTAAACGATTAGGCCGATAATATCAATATCATTGAAATATTTTTTTGATATTCTTTATCCAATATCCTATCATTTTTATTTTTATTATTCCAATATTTATCTATTTATACATTATACATTTTCTACATTCGCATTATACGACATATTTCATGATATTTCAGGAAAGCGACTTGGAAAGCGATCCTATGGGCAAAGCGAAGCAACAAGATAATCCGTTCATCGAACCTTCTCAGCAACACGCCGTCGTCGATATGAAGGGTAAGATCGAATAAAAGTTTCATCTTTTAATGATACGAAGTTACCGTAGGAAAAAGACAAAAAACGAGATGAAGAACCCGAGAAAAAAACAAAAGAAAAGAAGAAAAATATGACATTTTCGTAAACACATTCGTAAATCGTAAATGTTATCCATCAAATTCCTTTAAGTGTTACTCTTCCACCTTGTTATTCCATCGGCCCACACTTTCGGCACACCTGTGTCATCCTCTCGTTTAATTTGTCCACCACACACCGTGTGACGTGCATACCTACACTCTCTTTTTTTTTCTTCTTTCCTTTCGCAGATGTGATGGTGCTCAACGATATTATCGAGCAAGCAGCAGGACGTCAGAGCAGAACACCCGAGCAAGGAGGTAATGACGTGCAATCGACTCGTTCGAGCAATATATTTTTTTAATCCTCTCTATTCTCTATCTATCTATTTATTTAACAATCTATCTCCCTTCCTCCTATTATGATTATCTGTCACCTTTGTCGCAAGTGTGTTTATCTTATTGTCTATCGTTCGATGTATATACCTATTACTATTACTACTACTATTACTACTACTACTACTAATATTACTACTACTACTATCACTACTACTACTATTACTACTACTACTACTACTACTACTATTACTACTACTATTACTACTACTACTATTACTGCTACTACTACTACTACTATTGCTACTACTACTACTATTACTACTACCACTACTATTACTATTACTATGAGTGGAAGTTATACCTTATACATACCTTGTGTTTGTAATTTTCATCCATACTGAACGGACATACAAATGCACGTATACATACACATGCACATAAACATACATACACATGCATACATATATACATACATACATACATACATACGTATATATATATATAATTTACTATATATATTAGGTGATGCTGGACGTTTCTTTGGCTGCGCGTGTCTATCTCTATTTTCTTACATCGTAGATTATATAGTATATCGATACGCTTATTCTTTTAAAAAACCGGTTATTTCAATCCGTCATTTTCTCCAATTGATTTAACAATCGAACACGCTCTTGTCTCTTTAAATGTAATCTCACTCTTTCTCTCTCTCTCTTTCTCTTCCTCCATCTCTCCCTCTCCTTCTCTCTCTCTCTCATCCTTTTTTTATCTCTTTTTTTCTTCTTCTTCTTATTCTCCTTCTCGTGTTATTATTATTATTTTTTTTTTTATCATCAATTTATACCCTACGATTCGCAAAGAAAAAATGAACGCGAGAACGGTACTATATTTGACGGGATTTAAACGATTCGAAAGTAATGTTTTTCGATATTGGTAAAAGGAGAGAATATGTGAAGTGTATTAATTTTTTTTGGGGAAAAAGAGTTTGACCGCTTGATTCTTTCTACACGGCAGGAATTTAGCGTTTATCTCGTTGCGGTTGCACGAAATATTTCAAGCTTTCGTATTACATACATATAATAGTGAGTGTGTGTGTGCGCGCGCGCGCGTGTGTGTGTGTGTGTGCGCGTGTGTGTATATATATACATATATATATAGGTATATATATAGGGCGACTTCGATAATCATGGTATAACTGAGAAATGATTTATTTCTCTTGAGATGAGAATTCTTGAATAAAATTTTTTTATTGATACGTTTGTATTAAAAAAAATCAATTTTAAATATTAATCGAATTCATCTGATTAAATCATTGTAAAGAATTGATGTATTATGTATATATATATAGACTACATAATAGAAAGATTAATAATAACTCGTAATTAAGTATTCGTGATATATTTAACATTGGGACATTATAAAAATAATTACTTTTATATTTTAATTGATTATTAGAAAAAGAAAAAGAAAAGAAACAAATTATAATTATACATTATTATTATTTAAAAATGAAAATATCGAATTGATGAATAAATATGATATAAAAATAATTCAATAATTGCTATATACGATTGTTTATACTATAAAGAAAAAATGGAATTTATTCAAGTGATTTATATATAATCTCGAATTGATAATCGACATGACCCAAAGTGATAAAAATAAGCCTGTAGTAATAGCTTTCATGTTATTTATAATGACAGTAAATGATTTTTGAAAATTCTACAAAATAATAATTTAAAAAAGAAAGAAAATTTTATTCAAGATTTTAGGTTACCTATATTTTCTCAAAAAAAAATTTTAGTTTACTGTGATTATTATGTCATCCTGTACACGTCATTACCTAGATTTCGTTTTTTTATATATAATAATTTACGCGCGCAAGCAGAATTTCTTTAGGATATTTTTTCCGCCATCCGCTTTTTATATTCGTCGCGAATTAAGATACAAGCAGCAGCACTGCCGCGTTTGGCTGGGTTTGCATTGCACAATTATTTCTCGTTAAGAGAAAATGCTAATAGAGCGAAATTTCGCGCGAACACTCGCCACGTCTTCGTTCAATTTTTTTTTTTCGTTTTTCTTTCTTTTTTCTTCTCCATTTCGTTTCTCTTATTTTATTTTCTATTACTCTCTTCTACTTTCCTTTATGAATTATAACTGGCACGCAAATTTGCATCATCGTTGACGGCACTGTTATTTAGAGAATTAGTTCCTCGAACGTTGCTTTTCATTCATGAATGTATTTTATTAGAAAAGGAGAAACAAGAAAACAAATAAAAAAAGGAGGAATCTCTATTGTTTTACGATTTTAAGATTGAGTATGTATTCGATGAGTTTTGAAAGTCATTTCGAAAGATAATTAATTAATCAATGTTAATGAGAACAATGAAGATTCATTCATGAACTGAAAAATAGAAAAGCATGGAATCACTTCGAATTTCTGTATTTTGCATTTGTAACGTCGAAGAAAGTTTGCTTCCTTTTTTATTCTTTTCTTTTATTTGGATTTTTCTTGTATCATTTTATTTGTTTCCCTTAAAATTATTCAAAATTCCTCGACATTCCTTTCTCAATCATTTTTGCCAGTGCCTGTTTCTTTCCCACTTTTAATCTCATCGATCGGATCATCCTCAGCTTGCTTGCTTGCTTGCTCGTCAACTTGTTCACCTGCCCGTGTAAAATTTTCTGAACAGAAAAAATACGTGCTTGAAATACGATATCGATCAAAAAAAGAAAGAATAAAAGAAAAAAAAGAATAAAATAAAATAAAAGAAAGATTGAAAAAAGGACAAAAAGAAAATAAAAATAAAATTAAAACGAACGAAATGAAAGATTAATAATAAATAATTATAAATAATCTAAAAAATTTTTTTCTGAAATAACTGAAGAAAGAAACAAAATGTGTAAAAATTAAAAACCTCTTTCCCCAAAAAGAGTGGTGCCAGACAAAATGACTAACGCGCGTTACAGTTTCGACCTATTACTTTCCGACAGACGACGATGAGGAAGGGCCCACGTTAAAGGAGAAAATATTGGCCGGAGTCTTACGTTGCATCGATATCTTCTGCGTTTGGGACTGCTGTTGGCTCTGGCTCGAGTTTCAGAAATACGTATCTCTTTTGGTATTCGATCCGTTCGTAGAACTCTTCATTACTCTTTGTATCGTTGTTAACACCCTCTTCATGGCATTGGATCATCACGATATGGACAAGGACATGGAAAAAGTCCTTAAATCCGGTAACTACGTAAGTATATATATATACATACATATATATATATATATATATATATACACACTATTATTTTAACGTCATTCGAATTATCACTATTTTGGATCGTTCAATAATTGATTATTTATATCAGATAAAAATTTGCAAATATTTCGTTTTATTAAAAAATTAGATTTGTCTCATTACTGCTATACTCAGTAGCGAATTAAACGAGGCGATCGTTTACAGCTCACACGAGATAAGGGATTCTTACGTTACAAATATATATTTATATAGTATTGTATAATAGATTTAATTTAATATTCGGTTATCACTATATAATCTTTTTTCTCCATATTTGCGATTACGTATAATTCGAATTTGAACAGTTTATTTCTCGCTTTGTCACTTGACAATTAAAACGAGAAAAATTTTTAATGCCTCGGATACCTTAAACCCTAAATTCGCCACTGGTTATATCTAGTTTTATCTAATAATTTTAAATGATATAATTGAGATCTATGGAGTATTTAGTATGAATTTTTGTTAATATAAATAAAATGAAACAATTGGGGGAGAAGGCGGGTGCTGGAGGGAGGATAGAAAAGAAATAATTGATACATATAATGATTTACATCTAGATCAATAAAAAAGAAATTATATTTATATATTTTTATATTTTTTATTTATTTTAAACACTCGGAGAGATAATTGAATATAAAAAAAAAACTAAAGCAATTATTTAACATTTCAACGTAGTTCTTCACGGCTACATTCGCCATCGAAGCAACGTTAAAGCTGATAGCTATGAGCCCGAAGTATTATTTTCAAGAAGGTTGGAACATCTTCGACTTCATCATCGTCGCCCTCTCATTACTCGAATTAGGTTTGGAAGGTGTTCAAGGTCTTTCGGTATTGCGATCCTTTCGATTGGTAAGTACGATCTATGAAAAATATAAATAACATGAGTCATCTCAAGGAGCAACTTCGAATCTTAATCAACGTGTATCTCGATCGATCGATCGATTTATCAAAAAAGTTTTTCATTATTTTATATCTAATTAAACTAAGTATTAATATCTTTTTATTAGGAAAATTAGTTATCGGATCTAGTTCAATATCATAATATTTAAATATAAAATATTAAAAAATGTTAATATACCGAAATTACAATGCATACATTTTTAAATCGTTTAACACTGGAATATTATTCTTTGTTCGTTTTTATAATTTTTATTTATCAGACGCGATCGCATGTATTTATTTTATTTAATTGCTTTATATATTGGAAAATTTCTCATTGTTCAAGTAAATAATAATTAATCAATCATTCGTTTGATTAGCTGAGAGTGTTCAAGCTGGCAAAATCATGGCCCACATTGAATCTACTGATATCCATCATGGGTAGGACAGTTGGTGCCTTGGGTAACTTAACGTTCGTCTTATGTATCATCATCTTCATATTTGCGGTGATGGGTATGCAACTATTCGGGAAGAATTACACCGATCACGTCGATCGCTTCCCGGGTGGAGATTTACCCAGATGGAATTTTACCGATTTCATGCATTCCTTCATGATCGTCTTTCGTGTCCTGTGCGGAGAATGGATCGAATCGATGTGGGATTGTATGCTGGTCGGAGACGTCTCTTGCATACCGTTCTTCCTCGCCACCGTCGTCATCGGTAATCTTGTCGTACGTATTAAATCAATTAATGTATTTTAATACGATTAAGAATAATTTATTTTACACGGTTGTGTATACATAATAGTACATTTCAGAAAATCATCGACGATTTAAACGAGGACCGTTACATCCTTCTTGATGATTTATTACCTCTGACGAGTATTGGTCTTTCATTTTTTTTTACAATTTAATTTAGAATAGAGCGATGATAATAAATAACAATAATGATAATGAATTAATTAGGAAGTAAAAAATTTGAACGTTTTTCAGAAGTTTGTTATTTTTCTCGTAAGCGAGAATACCGAAGTTAATGTTTTCGAATTAGGATCGATTTCTTTTCGTTGATTAACAATTAAAAAAAGAAAAAGAAAGAAAGAAATGGAAGAAATCAAAAAACAAAAAATACTTCGAACCATTGTTCCAGTTCGAATTCATCAATTTTCAATCTATGAAAATTTTATTAACAGGTGCTGAATCTCTTCTTGGCCCTGTTACTGAGCAACTTCGGTTCATCTAATTTATCGGCGCCGACTGCAGACAACGACACGAACAAGATCGCGGAAGCGATCGATCGGATAGCACGTTTCGTTAAATGGATCAAGCGAAATGTCCTTTACATTGCTAAGTTGATGCGAGCCAAATTCACCAATCAGATATCCGATCAGGCGCCAGGTGAGGGACCGTCCAACAGTTGGAAAGAAGGTTTATATCCAATCAGATCGCTTGCTGTGTGCGCTGTGTAGTTCGTGGCACTGTTTTCGGTTCGGCTTTTTATTACACTCATCTCGGTCAAACAAAATGTCAGTCGACGTTTTTTTTTTCCTTCGGTTGATTTTTTCTCACCGAAACGATTTAACAACAACGAAAAAATAATAAGTCAATAAGAAAATACGCGCGCCATCTTTACTCTTTGTATAAAAGGAAGATCGTTGACTGACACGTTTTTTCGTTTATTACGCAAATTCTTTTTCTGATTGTTTCGCTATTTTTTGTTTTTTTCTCTACAAAATTACTTTCGAATTTCCGTGGATTTGGATTAAGATTAAAAAAAGGAAAAAAAAGGAAAAAAAGGAAAGAAAGAAAGAAAAAAACATGATCGAATCATGTGGGTGGGGATTTGAAGAAAAGAAAAAAATTCGTGAAAACGCAAGAAAATATTTATTAATTTTGCTTAGCTATTTAGCCGCCTGGCAGTTATATGTTGCTTCGCTCGTTATTTTGGGTCCGCGTTTTTCGTCCGAAAGGTATCATAATAAATATCAAAAACTATGAAACAACAGCAGGAAATACGAAGATTGGGTGGGTGATCGAGTATGACTCGAACTCGGCGAATGGAAACAAAGGATCGTTCGATGATCATCGAGCGATATTATAGATCGCGAAAGTACGATTATATAGAGGTAGTCCAGTTAACAGTAATGTGATATCGATAAGAATGTAATTGCATTATAATTCTATAAGAAAATTATACCTATTTTTATAAAAAAAAAATCTTTTTAATAAGTGTTCACAAAAATATTCGTATCTATTCTTTTCGAAATTAAATAATTTGTTTTTTGTAAATCGGATTGAGAACTCTCTGAAATTTTTAATGTATCATATGTTTATTTAATGTATACATGTTTAGAAAAAAAATGTGAAACCAATTATTTTTATAAAAACAAAGTAGTGAAGAAACGAATAAATTTTTTCTTTTTTAAATTTAATGTCTTCTATTAAGTCTTTATAACAAGTTAACAAATTTTTTGATAAATGTTTAACCAGATCTATGAGATACTTTTGTGTTCATTTCTTTGTTTTTCTTTTTAATACAAATTTTTATTAATGATGAAAATAATGAGAATCTTTATTTTGTATTCTTTTTTTTATTCACTATCAAAATGAAAAGTTAATCTTCATAAAATTCTTCACGAACCTTATATAATATTATGGAAGAATTTTATATCGATATAAAGTGATATTCTTCAATTAAAAGAAAATATTCGAATATTTTTGTGAAAAACGGAGAAAGAAAAAAAATAATTAAATATAATATAACTTCTATAGATCATTTAAATATCTTATCAATATCACTAAAGAACTATGTAGATTATGGACTGTTATTAACAGTCGAAATATAAATTGAAGCTTCACTCGAGCATCGCAAGGAACACGAAAGTCTCGAGTCGATGCTCTTGCATGCTGAAATTGAAAATATGTGATTTAAAAAAAAATGAGAAAAGAAGAGAAACGCTCGTCGATCTGTTTTTTTAATTTCTTTTCTCTCTCTCTCTCTCTCTCTCTCTTTCTCTCTCTCTCTTTCTCTCTCTTTCTCTCTCTTTCTCCTTCCCTCCCTCTCTTTTTATCTATCTCTCTTTTTTTTACTTTGAACTTCTTCGTCAATAATAATTACCTATATTGTTTATTGTCCAAACGATTTGAATGATTAAAAAAAAAGAATAAGAAAAAAAAATAAAAAAAAAAATGATCAAACATAAAAAAAAAAGAAAAGACAAGTAGTTCATCGAACGACGCACGTTCTTTTCGAATGCGAGTCTCCTCGAAAGAAAAAAGGGCGGGTTAGAGTTTTTATGTGACTGTGCAGATGGAATTGATCGAGATGGGGACCTAGATCTTGCAGATAGCGATTTGGAAGGTTATAGAGATAAGAAGAGTGCGAAGGAGTTGAATCAACTCGAAGTAGCCATTGGCGATGGAATGGAATTTACTATTCATGGTAAGCGTATCTTAATATCTTCATAATATAAATGTCATTTATGGACGGTTGGCATGACATTTATGTATCGTAATAAAAAAATAGAAATGAAAACAAAAAAAAAAATAAAATAAAAAGAAACGGACTAGCGAGTATAATTTTTCGGATGTTACTATTTCTATTTTTTTTTTTCGATCAAAATCGTTAAACGTCTGATCGATATTTTAAATAAACGAACAATATTTATAATGAAATATCCGTATATAATATATAATATTCATACGTGACGCTACTAAAATAATATCCATGATGATCTGATGCAACATTCACGTAATCCATATACTTAATTATTTATACCGACCTAACAATATTCGATTTATATAACGACCGATTTATTTTTGTAAAATATTTTCTGTTCGATTAACAAAAATATGGAGAAAATAAATAAAAGAAAATAAATCTTCGGGATAACATCAATTGTAATTATTCTTTTTCGAAGGAGATCTGAAGAACAAATTGAAAAAGGGCAAGCTCTGTATGAACAATACCAAGGTGATAGGGAATTCGATAAATCATCGAGACTATAGATTAGACAACGATTATATTAATCAGAACGAAGAGGACACGATTAGGTTGGTTTCTAATTATCTGTTTTAATATCAAAACGACACTTGGAATTTTAATATGTTCCTCTTCTCTCTCTCTCTCTCTCTCTCTCTCTCTCTCTCTCTCTCTCTCTCTCTCTCTCTCTCTCTTTCTCTCTCTTTTCCCCCTCCCCTTTTTCTCTTTTAATAGTAATAAATCGTATGGCAGTCATAAGAATCGACCGTTCAAGGACGAAAGTCATAAAGGTAGTATGGATTCGTTGAATGGTGAGGAAAAAAAGGATGCCAGTAAGGAAGATCTCGAGCAAGATGAAGGTAATAACAAACTTTAATGAAGTTTATTAGAATATTTTTAATATTTTATACGAAAGAAAAATGTTATTTTAGATTTAGAAGAGGAAGGTGATGAGGGTGACGGTATAATGGAGAGTGAGATAATACATGCCGATAAGGATCCCATAAATTCCGATTACCCAGCTGACTGTTGTCCAGAAAATTGTTATAAAAAATTTCCATTTTTGGCTGGCGACGATGATGCTCCATTTTGGCAAGGTTGGACGAATTTGAGGCTGAAGACCTTCCAACTGATCGAAAATAAATATTTCGAGAGTGCTGTTATAACGATGATCCTATTAAGTAGTTTAGCTCTCGTAAGTGTTTTCATTTTATATTTATATCAAAATAAAATATCACGTTTTATTATTAATTTACAATTTTACGTTCTAGGCCTTGGAAGATGTCCATTTGCAGCAACGACCCATCTTGCAAGATATTCTTTATTACATGGACAGAATTTTCACTGTAATTTTCTTTCTCGAAATGTTGATCAAATGGCTGGCCCTTGGCTTCAAGAAATATTTCACGAATGCTTGGTGCTGGCTCGATTTCATCATTGTCATGGTAAGTTACGAATCTTTTTTTATTTTAGACTTATGTAATATATGTCTTAGTGTGATATTACTAGGTTTTCCCATGAAGGCGTGTAATCACTAGGATTTTTATTACATTTTTCATCTCACGAAAAATGACATATTTAACATAATACATATATATATATGTATATATACATATATATATATGATTGCACGCTCTTCCTCCAAATATTTACATTATCGGCCATCGTGCGATTTCGCCTCAATTTTGTCAAACAACAAATACGAAAAGGAAAAAAGAAAAAAGTAGAAAAAGAAGAAACTTATCTTTTTAACCATTATAATCGAACAAAACTATTCGAGAGAAATCGTTCGAGGAATCGAAGCGAGGTGGACTCTTCTTACATGTATCAAACTTACTCGAT